AGGACTCACCCAAAACCTGGACAAAAGTAGAACAGTATAAATATTGGACCTAATAAGAGTGTCAAGATTCAATAACAGCAGAAGTATATTGAATATGCAAATTCAGTTCCAAGACTGGAAATAAAAGGGGGAAAATCTCCCCCAAGCAAAATTATTTTTAGATATATAGTTACTAGCAATTATATGAGGATCAATTTTAGATGTAAGGCGAGCTTTGCTGTCCTGGCAATGTTCATTGCCTCTTGTTTAGACTTAGAATGGGTCCACTACCTCTCAGGGGATACAGGAGATGTAGGCTTGACTGGGTCATGATTAGCTCGCTCACTGAGCCTCCGTGGAGATAAATATAGTAATTTTGCTGTTTTTATCCTTGGTGTGTTTTGAATACCTCAGACAAACTCGAGGGAATAATAATTCTGAGCTTTATCAATTTCACTTTAAAATTAATCGGAGATTGTTTGGTTATTTATTTATTTATTTATTTTAGAGAGAGAGAGAGGAGAGAGAGAAACTCAGGCAGACTCCCTGCTGAACATGGAGCCCAACTCAGGCTTCGATCCCTCCTCTGCCCAACTCTAAGATCCTGATCTGAACTGAAATCAAGAAAGTCAGGCGCTTAACTAAGTTACCCAGGCACCCCAGAGTTGTTTATTATTTATTGTATTATCCTAATACAGTGAAAGAACTCTGAACATTTTTTTTACCCGTTCAATAAATAATCCTCATAACAAAGCTACTCATGCAAAAATTCATCAGCTAAAATATTGGTATGTACCAAAACTTCAATTCCAAAATACAGCAGATTCATATTAAAGGCTTCTTTTAAAAGGTCAACTTCATGCTGAAGAGATAAGAAAAAATAATTCACATGGAAGATTTCATTTAGTGCCCTGAGTATATTTTTAAAATGGCTCAGTGTCTGCAAAGTGTCAACAGTAACTTGTACTTGAAGAGAACTCAGGCATCGTCTTGACATGCCCTTTTACACTGTGAATCTTAAACATCAAATGAACAGGAGCTTCCCTTCCCTTATCTGTATTTTTCATTAAAAGTTGTAAAAGCTTTTTCAAGGCAAGACTGGTTTTAAACTGAGATGTATATCTTAGAATCTTAATTGAGATGATCACTTGCTTCTTCTTCACTTTCCTAAATGCAAACTTGATGCCTATTTTCTCCCAGCTTATTTCCAAAATCAGAATCTATCTGATGCCACATAAAAGGAAACATTTGCCAGAAGAGTTTTCTTAATCACCCTAAAATGGAACATTTTGAGGGTAAGTAGCATATCATGGGCTTAGTATTCTTGTAGCACTCAAACCTAAGCTCCACACTAAAAAACAAGTTTGCTTAACTGATGTGTTTTACTGTTGGGTGAGTGAGATGGGGAAGAATTTTAATTTTTAAATCTATTGCTTGAATGTATTTTATGTATAATATAAATATTTTGGTATATATTTATAATAAATGCAATATATGCAATGCACATATTATATACACATATTTATAATATAACATTTCAATCAACATGAAGTAACAATTATTTATTAAGTATTTAAATTAATTATTAACAATTTAAAATTGAATAAATTTCCAGCCTTAGGTCTGGGACAACATCAGAATGAGTTTTGATGCACCAGAGCATAGGTAGTGTGCTCCTTGTGCATCACGGAAGCTTCCATGGCATACTATCTGGTCTCTATACATGTTATCCTGGTCTCCGATGGATGAATTCCAAGAGAGTTCTAGATCATTGTATTTACCTCCACCATACGAACCCCAAACAGGGAAAGACTGAGGAAAGTTATATTTCAAAGATTTTCTTAAAAAATTCCAGAGACCGTAGATGTCTGTAAGAATAATCTGTATATGTCTGTAGGAGAAGGAGCTGGGAGGACGCAACCATGATGTAGACAGTGGTTTCCAGGCTTGGCTCGACAGCCTTGGAAAACTGCATTAATTGTCCTACCCTGGGTAAACAGAATCAGAATCTGGGATGAACCTTCCTGCCTCACTCTGGGCTAAAGAATTTTTTTTCCTAATGATAATTATTTTATTAATCATTTACCAGTGCATGTGAATGAAAGCTCATCTCATATCAATCTTAAGTTGAAGGTCTGAGATCTGAGATTTCACTTAACTTCCTTTCACAATTCCATTATCATTTTCCACAAGCAAATATTTCCTGTGTTATAACTTTGACAAATTTTTCCATTGGCATATTCAGATTGAATTTATGCAGTGACATTTAAAATTTTTATTTCAAAATTAATGATTATATCACATTTAAGAAAGGAAGAATTTTGCCCCCTAATTTATGTTAAGAAGAGATACACATTTTAAACATATCACTATTTCTTTCCATTTAAAAATTTAAATGACAATTATTAGTTTTATCATAAAAATTAAAAACAGTTATCTGTACTCATCTGTTTGATAGCTTATTCCATTCACAATTTTTGTTTTTTTCCTCTCCATTATAAAAACATCTTTTTGTTTCCACATGTAAGTCAAAGAATCCCCTGTTAAAGTGGAGTTTTATTCTCCGAACTCCTTCGGAGCTCTCAGATTGATTCTTTGGAGTATTATAAATGAGTATACCTTCCACATCAGTAATAAAAGCTAACATTTATGAACAATTATATGCCCAAAACAGTGCTATGTACTTGATCTGAATTATCTTATTTAATCTCCATATCACAAGTAAGAACCCAAAACTTGGGGGTTCAAGTATTCACCTAAACCAATACAACACGGCTTTTAAGTATCAGACACTACAAAGGCAAAAGCAATTTCTAGAAGTACGTATTAAGTGCTTTAGGACACTGACAGGCAATGGACTGAAGTATGCAATATTTAGCACAGATCTATTCATTAATATGCTTTTTATTGCACATAGAATTAAAATTGATGTGAGCTATTCAGGGTCCTAGAAAAACTCAATGTTATGGACTTACAGGTCAACTCATACCAAAGACCATAGATCATGCATTAATTCCTTTTGATAAGTGACAGATTGAAAGTCACAAATTTGAATAATGGTACTCTATTAGACTACATTTGCCTGGTAGTCTCATATGTGTCCACGATGTTCACAATCATCCTATCCTCTTAACTAAGAGAGACTCATCCAAAGTATACAATTTTATTTAAAATAACTTTCTTGGAAAAAAATGGAGAAGTTCAGCTCTATTTTAAATTTTCCAGTCCAGGGGCACCTGGGTGGCTCAGTGGGTTAAGCCTCTGCCTTCTTCTCAGGTCATGATTCCAGGGTCCTGGGATCAAGCCCCTGCATCGGGCTCTCTGCTCAGCCGGGAGCCTGCTTCCTCCTCTCTCTCTGCCTCTCTGCCTATTTGTGATCTCTGTCTGTCAAATAAATAAATAAAATCTTTTTAAAAAAATAAATTATCCAGTCCATAAAACCATTTGGGTTGCATGTTTCACCCCACTTTACTTTTAAGACCCATCTAAGGAACAGCACCCTCTTCCTACTGCCATGACAGTTCTCCCATTTTGGGTATCTCTGAGGTATAGGTCATTTTTTCGGTGGAAACTTTTTTTCAGGGCTCTAATACGGAGTTTTAAACTCCTGATACGTTTAACACAAAGATTACTTAGGGTCTGCCCTTGTAAAATAGAGGTATGAAGTAAAAAATGAATTCCATCCCAAAGAAGTTGGGAGAACAGGAAATGCTGCGGAGAAACTGCATGAAGTGAGGCATGAAGGGAAGCCATTTCAGCCCTCTTGACTTGAGGGCAGGACACATATGCATTCAAAATAAAAGATTTCTTCAGGCTTAAAGGTTTTTAACAATAGGAGCTGATGATCAATGAAGGAAAGAAGCATGCTCTAATGATTTTTTGGACCAGATCAACTTGACATTTCATTTTTTTTTAAATCCTCCAATAAATGCATCTACTCCACTTTTTCTCTCCTAGCATCCCTAACAATTATTTTGATTCTCATGATTCAACTGGCTTTCTCAAATGCTTTTATGAGGAGTAGAAAGGGAAAGGGAACCATGTTGCTCAAGGAGTGACAGAAATATTCAAGGGCTGTGAATGAAGTAATAAAAGAAAACTAATGTAATCATTTAAAAACCTACCCCATCCCAAGTTTCTGGTCATTAAGCACGAGTATAGTGGCTGCCTGTATGAGATTTTTGCTCCCCATCAACTATGGCATGATTTTCTTTAAGATATAATATCTTCCAGCACTTTTTGAATCATTACAACATCAACCATAATGCTGAGCCTGTAAAAGTCCCCTAATGAGACATTTTAATATGTTAGTCAAAGGATTATTTGGTAGACCAGTAAAAACAACTTTGCTGGCTCTTAATGAGCAAAATGCCTGAAAACAGTATGTGTGTATTCTTGTCAACAATATATTATTATTAGAACATGGATTGTGACTCGAATTACTACCCGAGGAGGCTACTGTTGGCTTTACTTAATCTGTGTGATGTTCCTCAGCTTTGTGTTCAGAGAAGCACTCAGTGTGGGTGGAGAGGAGAAATAACAGTGAAATGGGAGAAAAGGAGAAAAGGTAGATACAGATTTTGAAGACAGATTTAGGAAAAAAGGAGGAAGAAACATTAGGGTAGATTAAGAGAAAACAGGAGAACAGTAAAAAAAAATGAGTAGACAGACTAGATTATCACAAAGCTGCGGTTCAGAGGAATTTGTAAAACCAATCTGAGCATTATCTGTACATGACGAGAATATAGAAAATTACTGTATATCTCGTTTGACTTTTTTAGAGGATGCAGGCTTTTATATGCATTCATTTGCTGAATTTCCAAGGTCATAAAATAGCTTTGTGAACATTTTGGTTAAGTCTTTATAAAATGTAGATAACAGTGTTGCTAGAGATATGACGCATCCGATGATATAGAATGACTTGGAATATGGAATTACATGACTGACAACACCATCCCAGAAGACCTTGTTAAAAAGCCAATTAAAGAACTGAGATTTAAAATATTTAGACAAATACTCACCCAACAGACAGGAAAGGCTCCTTTGACTCAAGTCTATAAAAAAACATGAAAAATTATTTTTAATATAACAATTTGCTGTACACTTAAAATTTGCTTTTATAAAAATCTGACAAAATTGTTATACTTGTTTGGCTGAAAATGTATACTTTAGCACTAATAATAAGCTGTAAATAATATATGAAGATCTAATCTGGACTAATTCAAATTCCGGCTGGCTCAATGCAGAAGGTAATGAGAGACATTTGGAATGGGAATGTAGCATTTAAATGATACATTAAAATAATAATACTGTTAGTCTAATTCTCTCTATATCCACTTCTCTTGTTTTTACAGTAATTTGTAGAAGTTTTGATATATCTATTTGTAGCTGTTGTAGTAATAAAATAATTTATAATGTATTTAGCTACATATAAACTGAGTAATTTATTCCGGTAAATATTCTGTAATGAAGAGAGAAGCAGCATGACATTCATTGTCGTTTACCAAAACGTGAGTGGCAGCAGAGGAGGGAGTCAGGTCATAGTTTAGGATCTTAATGCCTCCTCTTAATGTCTCCAATTCTGAAGCCTCTGATTAGTTGTGGCATTTTGAGCAAGCAACGTAAAAGACTTCCTGGGAATTATTTTTCTCATTATAAAATAGGTTAGAAGTCTTCCAGTTAATTTTCTTATTTCATAAATTAATTTCTTTGTAAAAAGCAAATCAATGAGGAAACTTTCCACTTCTAATATTTCCTAATTAATAATTAAGGAGACCAGTTGGTATAGGTACGTATTGGTCACCTCATTTTTGTATGTTTCTTTCTTTTTTTTTTTTTTTAATTTATTTATTTATATGAAAGAGCAAGAGTGAGAACCAGAGAGCATGAGCAGGGTGAAGGGCAGAGGAAGAACCAGACTCCCCGCTAAGCAGGGAGACCAACACAGGCCGATTCGGGTACTCCAGGATCATGACCTGAGTCGAAGACAGATGATCAAATGACTGAGCCAACCAGATGTCCTTTTATGTCAGTCTCTTAACATACGATTATGGGTTAAATGTAAGCAAATATTAAAGACATTTTTATCTGAATCATGGTGTTTGAGACGATGTGATGAGTACTGTGTGTTCTATGCAACTGACGGATCACTAAATTCTCTCTCTGAAACTAATAATAAAAAAAAAAGCTCAGGGACGCCTGTGTGGCTCAATTGGTTAAGCGGCTGCCTTGGGCTCAGGTCATGATCCCAGCATCCTGGGATCGAGTCCTACATTGGCCTCCTTGCTCGGCGGGGAGCCTGCTTCTCCCTCTGCCTCTGCCTACCACTCTGTCTGCCTGTGCTCATGCTCTCTCTCTCTCTCTCTCTCTAACAAATAAATAAATAAAATCTTTTAAAAAAAAACAACTCAGAGTTTGGAGATGTACATTTATGCAATCTTTTCCTTTTTCAAATTCTGATTTTATTTGCACCTCCCTGTAATTTCTTTGCCATATTGTGTGTTTGTTGTGCCCATGGAACTAAGGGGAAAAAAGTTGAAGATAAATACTGAAATATACTTGGATATGCTTGTTTTGTAAGACATGACCAGTGCTAGGGGATCAAAAGAAGTTGCCTTAAAGAAATGAGGAGGATTCTGTATATGTGACACAGACGACCGTTGACTTATTTGGATCATCAGCGTCATGACAATATCACCTCTCCCTTACTTTCTACTCAGCAACACTTAATAAACCGTTTCCTCCTGCCTGTAGTGTTCTCTTAGCCTCTCACTGCTGCCTGTTTCTTAGTGGCATCAACTAATCCAGCAAAAGAAAACTGAGTTATCTTGACTCCTTTCTCTTTTTCATCTCCCACGTCTCAATTAGCAATGTCCTGTCAATTTCTTCTTTATGTGACTTATATCTCCTTCACTTGATTCCCAGGCTAATTCTTACTACTTACCTCAGCCTAGCTGTTCTCTTCAAATGTAAATTCTTTGTCACAGTTGTTCCAGCTTCACAGGGTTTCACACAATGCCCCCACTCATATCATTTGAGGACTGCAAGGTGTTACTTTCATTCAAGGTATCGTAAACAACATGAATAAAAGAAAGACCCACCGTCTTGCCTTTCCCTGTACAATTACTAAAACACTGGTTCAGAATGTATTTGGAGTAGTATTTACTTATTGATTTTCTTTCCTTCCCTTCCCGCCAAGGCTTCAGATAAGCTGCCATTGTTGGATTGGGGCATATAAGGACATATGTTGCCCCACTGAAACCAATGGTTAATATGGTTAGTCCCACTAACTAGTTAATCGTCTCCTTCCACTTCTACCCCTTCACTCCTTTCAACTATTTCCTCTCAGATGTTCAATAGAAGAATGCAGGGGAAAATTCAAAGTTTTCAAAATGATACTGGATTGAGATTCTGATTGATATTTATAAACCAGGGGTTGGCAAACCCTGGTCTACAGGCCAATTCTTGCTCACCACCTGATTTTATATAACCCACAAACTAAGAACTATTTTTACATTTCGTTTTTTATTTGAGTCTAATTGATACATAATGTTACGTTACTTTCAGGTGTACAACATAGTGATTGATTTAACATCTCTTTGGTTATGCTACACTCATAAGTGGGCGTTTTTTAAATGGCTGAAAAACATCACAAAAGAATAATGTTTTGTGACACGTGAAAATTATCTGAAATTCAAATTTCAGAGCCCATAAATGAAGTTTGCTGGGACACAGTCATGTTTATTCATTTACATATTGTTTCAAGCTGATTTTGTGCTACAGCTGCAAGATGAGTAGTTGGAATAGGGACTGCGACTGCATGTCCACAATTTGGAAATATTTACTATATGGCTTTTACAGGAAAACTATGCCAATGCATGACATGTGATATGTTGTTGGAAGGAACTGGAAAGAACCTTTCAAAATAGACACTCTTTAATACATATCAAAATATTGTTTCAGAATCAGAAGTTCAGAATAATTTGAATTCCCTCTACGTCACCAATTCTCTGCACCTACTACTGACAGATCAACTCCTCTACAATGCTCTTTTCATGTCACCCTTGTTCTTAACAATTTTGATAGCCATAGGATGCTGCCCAAACTTTTTAGTGTGTCATTTGAAAGATTGTCACAAACATGCCTCATGCTAACCTTCCATGTTGGTCTTTATCACCTCTCTTACTAACCACTTTACTCCAGGAAATTTGTCTATTCACTACCTAAGCAAATCTCTTTTGCTCTGGTGTCTTGAAACATTCTCTTTCTATACCAGAATACTATTTTTTTTCCTTTTCTCTGTATGATCTATTTATGTAATTTAAGATCTTATTTATCTATTTATCTTAGTTTATCTAATTCCTTCATGATGCTAATCCTGACACCTTCATCTTATAGGGACAGTCCTGTCACTAAGCTTCTATTACTTATTATCTCCATTATGATGACAAATTCTTAGAACAATAGTCAATGTCTAGCTTCAAGTTTTAAGACTGGTAAGAATGTTAAACTTGTAAGGCTACCTAGACAAGAAGCTCCTGAAAGTTCCGTGTTAAATCTTCTAATGGCTCAGGAGAGGTGCTGGCTGATGCTCTATGAGCTGAACAGAAAAGAAAGATCATGGTCCATTAGTCATCCTAAGCCACTGAAGATGAGCCCTAGGTACCTGACCCCTCCCCACCACTCAAACATTTGCAGTGGTGACACAGAGCAGGAAATCTGTGAGGAACTACCATCAGGCAATCCTGTCTCAATACTGTCTTCAAAACAATGACACATTGTGTAGAGGGAAATGATAACTGGCCCACTTAGAACGATGGTCTGTTTTGTAACCAACTGCCCAGTCATGGTTTTATTACACAGACTTAACTTTCCCAGCCTGGAGTTGATTCAGAGATTTTTACATCTTTTCTCATTAATTATACAACCAACATCACAGCCAACTTAAGAGGCTGTTGAGAAGAATATGAGATTATATACTTAGAGTTCCTAGTACAGAGCAGACTGTGATGGTCAAGATTATGTAAAAGATAGGTTGTTAGTTCTAAGGCCTGAAACTGTCTGAATATGTGAAAAGCTCACTTTTGCAATTTTAGCCCTGAAAAGTGAAAAAAAATGTAAAAGAAGGAAAACTACCAAGAGAAACATCCCTTTGGAGAAAATTGTTTATCAATGTAATCCTTAGAAACAGATGAGTATATTGTGATATGCCCAGAGAGAAGTTTTTCTGAGGAGTTTTGTATTTTTTTTTTAAACAAGGTAATTGTTTTGTGGAAAAAAAAGAATTGATTTTATCTTTTCTAAGATTTACTTTTAACATGAACTGGGTAGTGAATTTAATAACACTTCATTCAAGATCCCCTAGAATGAGGAGTAGAATAAGACAAACAAACCATAGCCTTCAGAAAAACAGCACAGTAAGGGAATAAAATAGAATGCAAAATGAAGATCAATATTTGGAGCTGACAGATTTATACCATTTTGCATTTAACAATAAAAAAATCTATACTATATTTACTAAGGACCAGGCATTATTAAAAATGCTTTCTAATCACTGATTTATTTAAGCATCATGATATCCTCTGAGATAGATCTCATTTTACAGATGAGGAAGTTGATATCCCAAAATGCCAAGTGTCTTACCTAAGGTAACATAGCTGTAAAATGGCTGAGCTAGGATGTGAACCTAGGCATGCTGGCTCAAAAGTCCACGTGCTTCTGTCTTGCCTCGTGTATTGCCTTTCATTAGTTTATTTTCTTTATTTTGTTTTTATATGCCTTATGGCATTGTCACATTTCCTTTCTTTACAATTTCTGTATTTTACTGAGAAATCTAATCTGGTCTTTAATGTCGTCCACATGCTGGATACTTCCAGACTTTCGTCTAGTATCACTCTATATATGACATATGGCTGTATCTGTCCAACCATACATCTACAATTGTAGGTGCCTTCAACTTAACGTGTTTCAAACTAAATTCGTTGTCTGCCTCCCCCATTCTGTTCTTCTTTATCCCTAACTCAATGGCCCAATCAGCCACTCAGGTGACCAAACT